CATTTATATTTTATTCCTATTATAGATTATCGATAATTAAAAAATAAAAATGCATATTTCATTATATCTTTTAACGAATTGATTTTTTTACGAATCTCTGTACCTACTAATACCCCTTCCTAAGAAAAGTTGCTGAACGCCTAGTTACTTGTGTCAACAAGTTAGATTTTATAAATCTTCCAAGAGATAAACAAGAACGTAACAACTTCAATACAAGCAGTTGCTTAAAGAAGGTGTACATTTTGTATATACTTGTTATAGTAATTGTCACCTGTTAACAAATTAATAACTATATAATTATGATTATAATTTCAAAATATTATTTGTACATATTAATAATTGTTTTATTAAACTTTGATTTATTAAGTTTATGAGTAACAATGCTTTTGAATATTATAAATAAATCATTTAAATTAATAATGATTATTTAAATAATTTAATTATGTATTAAAACAGGAATTCTGTTGTAGCCAATGTATTTTAAAAATTTCAATTTAGTAAGAATATTTTAGTTTTTTCAATAAATAATGACTATCAATTGAATATTCTGTCTTTTTATTTGATGTATTCATGGAAAACGTGCTAGATATGTTAATTTTTGTGTTATAAAAAAATGAAAAAAATATGATTCATGTTTTGAGTATAATTTAATATATTTATAATATAATACATTTGTGTTGAAATTATTTTGTATATTAAATATGATCTACAAAAAAGCTGTCACTTCTTTTGTCAAGGAAAGTGAGAAGTTAGATTCCAGGGGAATTTTTTACAAAATACTGATCTTTCAAATGATATTTGATACACAATTTATTTTTATTTGATACCTATACAAAAATGGCCAAGGTAAGTTTAAACAAAAGAATACCAAGCATAAAATGATGTTATACATCATTTAATATTTATACAATAAATATCAACTATTTTAAAGACAAAACTTAATTTACTAAATCAAAAATATGAACATAATAAGTAATAATGCAGCATTCTTAACTCAATAAGTGATTAATCCATAAAATTACAAAAACAAAGTAGATATTTGTGTGTGAAACAAAAAGTTTAAAATTGGAATATTCCTGTCACAACATGTTAATGATGACCATTCACAATCCACATACATCTAATAAACATGTAATGACACGTTTAAATGTTTCATTAATACTTAAACAATTCATTTTTCATCATTCTTTTCATTACATTATGCTGTTGTTTTCAACTCAGTGTCTACTGTCTTGAGTCACATAATCGAATCGCACAATTTTTGAGACTCATTTATATGAGAGATTGATGTAGTGATTAATTAGTATAGTGATTTATTATTTAGTTCTATTAGAAAAAGTTAAAGAATTTAAATTATAAATAAATATAAATATTATTTTATACTCGACTGTTGTTTTTATATTGGGATTCCAAAAGTAAGTTCTTATTTATTAAATATCAAAAAGTATCAAAATTTTTATTTCGGTTCAATTATTAGGTGCTTAGTAGTATAACTATGTCTTCGTCAAACACTGATAATACAGCATTAAATAAGAAACGTAGTAATGTATGGTACCATTACACCATTTTATAAAATAACATTGCGAAATGTAATGTTTGTTCATACAAAATAAGTTTTAGTGGAGGATCAACTGGAAATTTGTTGAGACATTTAAAAACGAAGCATCCAACAGTTCCACTACAGAGAAATGTTCAGGTAAAATATTAATTAAATTAAGCTTAAAATCAGTTTGACCAATATGAATCTATACTTGATCACATGTGTAAAGTATTTTTTTTAAATAAAAGTATTTTAATATTAGTATTCAAATACTTTTTTTCTTATTTGTAGTTGAACACTATTTAAATAATAATTTTAAATGGTCATGAATACATCTACTTTTATATTTTATACTTGTGTCTTATTAATTAAATAGAAATCAAAATAGCAAATCTTACAGAATCTTTTTATACTATAAAATCAGATTAGCAATAATATGTATTATTATTATTATTATGGTTTATACTTTATTCCATAGATCAATATTTCAAAAAATGATATTATAGTGCGATCAATGATAGTATGCAATAATTAAGACATGATGTAAAAATTGTATTCAGCCATTTAGGCATATAAATTATAATAATAATAATAATGATTAATTTAAAAAAAATTATTATAATATAAGTAATACAATTAATATAAAGAATAACAATTTATTTAATATAAATAAATATTTTCTTAATATATTTAAGTAATAACTCAAACACATTGAATAAAAATAGTATTTAAGTACCACTTTAGATACTTTTATAAAATATTTTACCTAAAAAAATGAACACAACCAACCTTTTAACAGTTACAAGTACAGTTAAAATTTTAAATTATGAATAATTAATATCAAATAGGTAAATAATAATACTTCTAAATTATAGGTAAATGAATCAAATTCTGAGATTATTGATGATCCAGAACCCTCAACATCTATGGACCAAAATCCGATTAGACAACAATCTACTTCAGTAGCAACAACATCAACAGCATTTTTAAGACCACATAACAAACAGCAAAGCTCTATTGCAAACTTCATCCATAAGCCGATGCCTATGGGCAAATCAAAAATGATCGATCAACAGTTAATCAAAATGATTGTGAAGGAATACCATCCGTTTAGTGTGGTGGAGGATGAAGAATTTCGTAAATTAATTAAAATGTTATGTCCAACTTACATTATTCCATCAAGAAAAACCGTAACCCAAAGTTTGTTACCTCAGATGTTTGATATGACTCTTGAATGCGTGAAGGATAGATTAAAAAATGTGGAAGCTGTGTGTTTGACCACAGATGGGTGGACTTCCAGGACCAACCAAAGTTTTATATCCGTAACAGCACATTTTATTGACCCTAAAAACGATACAGTTGTTTCATCTGTATTATTAGGCTGTATCGAGTTTAATGAAAAACATACAAGTGAAAATTTGTCTCGTTTTTTAAGGAACCTAGTTGAGGAATGGAATTTATTATATAAACTTACTGCTGTAGTAACTGATAATGCTGCTAATATTAAATCAGCAATTAGAAACTGTAACTGGAGATGGCTATCTTGCTTTGAACATTCTATAAATTTAATTGTCCAATCTAGCTTGAAATGTATAGATTCTACTCTGTCGAAGGTAAAAAACATAGTATAGTATTTTAAAAAAAGATCGCACGCCCTGGCAAAATTAAATGACTATCAAAAACAACTTAGTTTACCTATTTTAAAACTTAAACAGGATTGCCCAACGCGATGGAATTTGACATATGACATGATCAATAGAATAATAGCAATTAAAGATCCGATTATTGCCACTCTTGCAGTTTTAGGTAATTCAGAGTTGAACTGTCTAAGCCCACAAGACTGGGTTATATTGGAAAATGCCCGGGACATTTTGAAAATCTTTTATGAAGTGACTGTCGAAATAAGTGATAATAATATACACGAAACTCAAAATGCATTGCAATCGATGAATATTATGACAAATAAAGACGAAAACTTTATATTTTTGAATAATTTCGAAAATTCAATAGTAGTTTTTTCAACAAAAATAAATTTAGATGTTTTGTGTGATGTAAAGGATATATATATTGACGGGACGTTTAAGAGCTGTCCTAAATTTTTTACTCAAATTTTTACGATTCACGGTTTCTATAAAGATTCATATGTTCCTCTTGTGTTTTTGCTGTTGCCCACAAAAGAGTCGAATATTTATGCTAAAGCTTTTCAACATATTATTAATTATTGTAGATCGCTAAGCTTAACATTTCACCCTTCAGAAATTTATGTTGATTTTGAAAATGGAATCCACAACGCAATCAAACAAGTCTGGACCGATGTTCGAATTAAAGGGTGTCGATTCCATTTGGGTCAAAGCTGGTGGCGTGCAATACAGAGATTAGTTCTGTCTAACGAATACAAGTCTGATTCAGAAAAAAGCAAATATCTAAAGTATTTTTTCGGATTACCATTTTTAAATGAAACTGACGTAATTCAATGTTTTACGGAAGATTTGATGGCAATAAAACCGTGTGATGACGAAAGAATTGATAATTTCACTGATTACATTTTAAATAATTATATTGACAATGATGTTGTACAGTTTCCCCCTAATGTTTGGAGTGATTTTTCAGTGACAGCAAATCGAACCACTAATAGTTGTGAAAGTTTTCGCTCAAAATTAAATGCTTTTTTTCATTAGAGGCATCCAAATATTTTTATTCTTGTTGACACTCTGTTGGGAATACAGTCTGATACATATAAGAAATATATATAAATATACATACATTTAATTAAGAAGTAAAGCAAAAAGGCCATGCAAATCAACATTAGAAAAAGAAAAATTTTTACGGGAGCAGACAAATAAATACATAAATAAACAAATTTGCAGATTTGATTTTTTAAAATCTGTATCATTTAAATTTTTACCAGCCAGTATATAATTATTAACATTATTTTATGATCCATAACTGTTGAAATATACAATTAATATAGTAGTATATGTAGTCAGCCTTGACACGTGTGTACAATTTAGTAACTAGTTATGTACGAGCATAAGACTCGCTCTCTTTATGGATGTAACATGACCTCGGTCGTGCATATATATAGGGCCTTTGATGTATGTAATATTCACTTGCACAGACGCTGTCATACCGAGTGTACGCGGTGTGTGGGTATAGTCACAGTTTAATTGTCCAGTTGTACGTTATTATATATTATACTTATACATAATCATATTGTCGTGTTATTACTTATTTTTTTTTTTTTTTTTTTTTCCGTGTTTGAATTGCAGTCAGGGAGGGAAAAAGGTTTCCCCATTGCTGCCTCCCTGGCCACATCGTTTATTTTAGTAAAAATAACATAGCAACAAAATATTAACAAGATATTAACAAAATATTTAAATTACAAGAGCTGGGGGCCTCTAACCACCCTGTTTGGCCGCTTCAGCCCACAACAAATAAACTTAACTAATCATACAAGTATTTACATTTGGCGCTGCCGCTGCCTCTCCATTTCCTCTTTTTCAGAGAGAATGGTCTCCACCATCTGCCGAAAGAGCTCCCTGTGCCTCGTTGATGCATCAATTATCGTTCTCCGCTGGGAGGGTTCTTCCGGAAGCTCTTGTGGGTCGGGACCACACAAAAGATATGAAACATCCTCTGGACCAACTGGTTTTCTTAGCGCCACTGCAACGTCCGCTCGTGCTACGTCCCAAAATGGACAAGCGAAAACCGTGTGTTCGACGTCATCGAAGACAGCCGGACAGTGTACGCACCCAGGGTTTTCGGCTTTCTTCCTCCGCCACAGGTAGCTCTGGAAGCAGCCATGGCCCGTTAGGACTTGGGCCATGTGGAAGCTGATTTCCCTCGGTCCTTGACTCCACCATCTTCGCAAATCCGGGATGAGCGACTTCGTCCACGCAGCTTTTGTGGAGGCATCCCACATCACCTGCCAATGAGCAATCGTGTCGTCTTCTTTCTGCTGCGCTGTCAGGACCGCGCCTTCTTTCCTTAGAGCAGTGGCGCGCTTGCGCACGGCTGCCTGCAGAGTGACTGGTGGCATCCTTGCAAGAACAAGTGCTGCCATATCCGAGACCGTTCTGTAACATCTCGCCACTCTGAGGGCGGCGCATCTCTGGCTCTGGAGCATCATGTTTTTATACTTCGCCACGTGCTGCACCTCGTCTGCCCAGTAAGCAGCGCCGTACAGTAGGCGGCTGTGGACCACGCTCATTAGCAGGCTGCGTTTACACTGGGCTGGGCCGCCTACGTTGGGCATTAGCCTGCCGAGCGCAGAGGCGGCTTTCCTCGCTCCCGTCGTCACCGAATCCACGTGTTTACCGAAGGAGAGGCGCGTGTCCAGCTGAACACCTAGGTACCTTACCGCCCTTTTTACAGCTATCGGGCATCCATCGACGCGCAGCACTGGATCCCGAAAAACGCGTTTCTTGGTGAGAACCACGCATTCGGATTTTTCAGGGGCGAGTCGCAAACCATTCACGGTCATCCACTCACAAATCATGCTGAGAGCGGGGTTCACCAACTGCTCGACCAACTCAGCGTTGTGGGCCACTGCCACCACCGCCACGTCGTCCGCGAACGCGACGAGTTTGACTCCGGCTGGCACTGGGAGCCTGAGCACGCCGTCGTAAAACAGGTTCCACAATGTTGGACCCAGCACCGAGCCCTGTGGTACGCCACAGGTGACGGGGAGGCAGTCGCTATCACCGATTAGTAGTTCCCTGTTCTCCATGAATGATCTTAAAATGATTACTAGGTAATCCGGAGTTGCGGAGCTGCGTAGTGCTGCATCTATTAGTCGCCACGGAGCTGTATTGAAGGCATTTTTAACGTCAATCGTCACCAAGACACTCTTTTTTCTGAACTGCACCGCTGCCCGCAGCCTTGGCTGCGCTCAAGACCTGTTGAATTGCGTCCACAGTAGACCTCGATCGCCTAAAACCGAACTGGAGGTCACTCAGTGCACCAACACTGTCAATGTGACGGATCAACCTTTCTAACAGCAACCTCTCCAGTACCTTACCGGAGCCGTCCAGTAGGCTAATTGGACGGTAGCTCGACGGGACATTTTTCGGTTTCCCTTTGCCTTTGTGTAGTAGCACCAGCTTGGCACGTTTCCATGGCGTGGGGAAGGTCCCCTCCAAGAGACAGGCGTTGTAGCAGTCTACGAACACATCGGGAAACTTCTTGAACGTTAATTTGATGAGCTCATATGGAATGAGGTCTGGTCCGGGTGCCTTGCCCGTCGGCAGCTTGCTGACGACCCGCGCCACTTCGTCGGCGGTAAACAGCGGTATACCTAACGGCGCGTCGGGTAGAATAGCATAGGTGGCCGTCGCTCCACCTGATGTAGGAATGCTTTCCCAGTCCGTCCGTGGTGATTGTGGGAATAGACCACGAGCCACGCATACCCTGGCTGCTTGGTCCATAGCCGGCGATCGGCGGCCTAACCTCTTGGTAACCAGCCTGTAGGAAACTCCCCATGGGTCACTATCAACTGATCGGCACAGCTCCGACCAGCTTCTTTCCTGTGCCTTACGGATTTCCTTTTTGAGCTCCAATCGTGCTTTTTTGTAAGCTTCGAGTTCAGCCTCGCGGGTTCCCATCCCCGATCTTCGGCCGGCGCGCTGGTATGCTCTCCTCGCGGCAATGGCAGACCTGCGAAGCACGGCGATGTCGTCACTCCACCAGTGGACAGCTTTCCTTGCTTCGAACGCTGACCTGGGTGGCATCGAGGCGTCGCACGTTGCGGAAAGTAGGGCCCCAAGTCGCTCTGCGTGCTCCGATGCTAATGCTTCAGATGATGGTGGTCTTGACGGACCAGACAGTTCAAAGAACAATTCGGCCGCAGCCGGATTGAATTTTTTAATTGACCAGCCCGGCGCCCTAGCTATCGTGCGCTGACGCGTGGTTGCTTGTTCTACTCGCGGAGAGACATGGTATTCTATGTACGAATGGTCACTTGCTGAGAAGATGTTCTCGAGCACCGACCAGTCATTGACTAGCTGGCGGCCGCGGGAAGGATAGCGTTCCAGCGTGACATCAATAATTTAGGCTGCGTTAACCCGGCTGAAGGTAGGCCTAGAGCCGACGTTGCATACTGTGAGACCCAGCGACGTAGCGAAGTCCGACAGCATAGATCCTCTAGTATTTAACCTAGCTGAGCCCCATTCCGGGGAATGAGAATTAAAGTCCCCTGCAACAACCAGATTCACTGGTGCTCTTTGCTGATGCGCGATCGAAAGCTCCAAGCCGCCCAGGAACAGGTCATATTCTTGAATTGAGCAGTTTGGAGTGCAATAGCAACTGTACAACAGTACATCGTCCAGCCATACTCAGACGAAGCCTACGCCCGCTCCTTGCTCGGCCAAGGTAACGTCCGAGGAGTTAGGTGCAAACACGGCGCATTTTCTGTCCAGGCTTTCGGCCCAGTGATCGGAGTCACCCATCGGCCGGTTGTATTCGGACAGGACTGCAACGCGCGATCCACGCTCAGCCATCGTCTGCAGGAGTAGCTGCTGGGCCGTCCAACTATTATTCAAGTTGATTTGAATGACTCCAATCCCCTTAGCCTCACTCATTTAAGGGCTGAAACCTCCGCCGCCAAGGACTTGGCAAAAGCACTAGCTGCGGTTGCGGTCACGCCGCAGGCAGCTACCTTGTGACCTGACTCGCCGCAGCGTCTGCAGCTTTGCGTTCTGTCCGCGCCGAGGCACTCCTTCGCTGTGTGACCGCGACAGAAGCAGCGGAAACATGTTAGCTTCTGATCGGCAAGCTTAACTCGACAGATAATCATACCAACGCGGAGCCGCCCGGAATTGTGTAATTCGCGTGAGGGTCCAACCGGTAGCGAAACCAGCGCCGACTGGGAGCCCCCGAATCTTTTCCTGAGACTGAAGACTCGGAAGTGCTCCGATGAAATGCCGGTGGCGGTGGCCGTAGCCTCAGCAACCTCTTCGACAGTTGACCACTGATCAAGGTCCCTGACCTCAACCATGACTCTCTGTTGGAGCGCACGTACTTCTACTTCGGAGCCCGCGGAGCTTGAGATCTCGGCACGCACCGCTTCAAACCGCGCTTGGTCGCCGCGGACTTCGATGAGTATGCCCCCTGATTTCGCCTGCCTCATGCCAATAATGCTATCACCAATAACACCACGGTCGACGCCACCACGAATCTTCGTGGCTAGCGCCGGAAAATCATCTGATTTGACGTCCACCATAATTGGACGTAATTGTTATTACTTATTATATTAATGCTAACATCATTAGTCCGTCAAGCTTCACTTTCAACAGGTTATGGGCCCAGTCAATAACCAAGACATACAGTCTAGTGGATTAGTGATCGAAGTATTTTTATATTTGTATTAACGCAGAAAACTACAACCAGTTGGAGATATCCTGTATTTCGGAAAACGGCGGAACAGTGTACATAGGTAAAGTTTTGTTATAAATTGTTATACAGGAAAGTATACGGGAATCCATCGGTCATGGAAGACACGGTGAAGATAACAAAATTATGTGCGGTGTTATGGAACCGGGGTTCCAACACAAATAATTTAACGCACGATTAGATTGATATTAATTATATAGGTTTTATTACGGGTTTTAACATTAACTAGTTGTACATATAATATAAAAATGCTCTTCTTAAAACATACGTTAAGTATAATGCTCTGTTCTAATGCGACTGACTAACCTCCTCCCTGTGCGTCGGCCTACGGCCCCGCCGGACGCCGAATCGCCTAGTCAGCGGATTCCTGTCGACGAGCCGTCGACCAACACACTCTTCTTATACTGTGAACATAATATAATATAATACTATTCAGGGGTTCACAACACCCCCCACACTAAATGAGACACGGGGGTCCAATGATCACCGTGTTTCATCTAATTAAAAAGAGTCTGTAAATTGGGATGTTGGAGATTAGTTCAGCATAGTTTTATATATTTTTTTTTACAATGATAAATAAAATGATAGAGAGAAAAAAAAAATAATAAAATATATATTATACTCTAGTGTTTTCCTGAATACCATTCGAATGTTCTTCTGGTATTTCAGGGATGTACATTCTTATTGAATGTTTCCTTAGTTTACTAATACATATTATTATTGTTATTCCAAAAACAAAAAAAATTACATAAATAAATTTAACATAAAATTCTATTTTTTGGATGAACATTGAATTTGGTAGTACATGTATAAGCTTACTTAATTCTACTGCTTTGCTGGCAAGAATATTTAAATTTTTAATGCACTTCGTGCTTGTAAGGTTCTGAGGAACTACTCCTTTAAGATTTTCTGTGATTTCTGATTGAGTTATGTCCCTAACATTGTTTGATATAATATCCAATTTAACATTTCTATTGGATTTACTCTCTGCTATAAACATGGAGTTATCGATGTTCATTTTGCAAGAATTAGGAATTGTTATTCTACCTAGATTGTTGATTTCTATTTGGAATTTTTCAAGTGAGTCCGAACATGTGATAGTACCTGGTGTACTATGTTGAGTATAGTATAACCATGCATTGGTTTTCGTTAACTTGTGCCAAATGTTCGTATTCAGACTCATGAATTTTAAATTGCAAGTCTTTGGGAAATGTTGGGGGTCCATGAGTAATGATACTTCACATAAATCCGATCCTAAACGGTGATGGATTAGTGATTCCTGTTTGCACAGTTTGCCTAACCCTAAACTTTTGCATTTTTCCCATTGCTCTGTATTTAGTGTGTAAAATTTTTCGTTATCACTGCTGAGTGTTAGATATTCCACTTCCGTATCTATTAATACTATTGTCCCCTCTATGTGTGGAATAGGTAATGGTATTGGGTGGTAAACGGTATATTTGTCATTAGATAGTAGAGGAATTTCTATTACAAAAATTAAATAGTTCTTTTGGGTAAAAATTGTAATTTCCGAGATTCTGAGAAATTCTGTCAAAGATTCTGTGTTTATTTCCATTGGTAGAGTACTTCCTGTTGGTAAATTCATCTTATTTTCTCGCAACTCACTCATAAGTGTCTGCGATGTGAGTGCGCTCGTATATACCTTCCCATTGAGAGCTGCGTTTACTATTGCCATGAGATTTTGCGTGTCATAGGCGAATCTATTTAATATTATCTCAAACAAAAATTCTTGTTCCAACAATTTTGTTTTGAATGATATTATGTCAATGTTCTGTGTGTTTTTCTCGAATTGCTGTTGTAGGTGTTTCAGATTTCTCTCAATTTGCTGCTGATGCATTTTTAAACTTTTCAGTGTTTGATTAGTTTCTGTTTTCTCCACTTCCGAGATTCTCGTTCTGTCGTGTATAAGGTTTAGATTCTTCAATTTGCTTTTACCTAACTCTATTATATTGTCTACAATAAAGTCAGTGTTGATTCTTGAACACATTCCGTAAATTACGTTTGTTATTCGGTTAACAGCACTGCCCAATCCACGTCTACTTTTCTTTGCTGTCTGTTGATCATAGTCAATGGCTATCATCAGACTTCGATAGTTCGATTCTATCTCATATAGATATGGCAGTGTTGCTCGTGTAAACTGTTTCAAAAAAGGTTTACATATCCTCGAGAATTCTTCGTTTTCTGATTGTTTTGTACAGTACTGTGCTGTTTTTTGATAGTGGGACTTTAATATATTTTATTCTGCTAATTGTTCGTTTAGGTTTACGTAAACTACTAAATCCCAAGTAATATGTGATAGACCAACTTGGCCATGGGACTCGT